AACCAAGCGTTCAAAAATTTTTCCTCTGTCCATTTCACTGAAAACGAAAGTCTTCTCGAATTAGTTTAGAGTCCCTGGGACTCGGAAATATCGCCCAATTTCCTGGAAATTGACACAAAGTTGGTCAAACTCACTCTGGGCATAGGGCGACTTTCTAGTCACTAAGTGAGCTAAAGAGGGGCTATATTTCGGGCAGACTGCTCATAACCAAGCGTTCAAAAATTTTTCCTCTGTCCCTTTTACTGAAAACCAAAGTCTTCTCGAATTAGTTTAGAGTCCCTGGGACTCGGAAATATCGCCCCAGTTAATATAAATCGACCTAAAGGCGGTCAAAATCACGCTGCGCGTAGCCCGGTCTGGGCGACTTTCTAGTCACTAAGTGGCTATATTTCGGCCGGACTGCTCATAACCAAGCGTTAAAACATTTTCCCTCTGTCCATTTCACTGAAAACGAAAGTCTTCTCAAATTAGTTTAGGGTCCCTGAGACTCTGAAATATCGCCCAAAATCCTGGAAATCGACCCAAAGTTAGTCAAAATCACGCTGCGCGTAACCCGGTCTCGGCGACTTTGAGCACTGTCGAAATCGATAGATTTCCACAGGTGAAATACACGTGTGTAGATTTGGGGGAGGGCTAAAAGTAGTATCTTGAAAAAGTTAGGTAAGAACTGGTTGGGATCCCCGCACCTAAATTCTAAATTCTATCGGCCCGTTCTGGTTTATTTTTCATTTATTATCATCGACATGTCACTGAAACAGATTATGACGCCTTTCTTGGCCGCAAGACGAAGAACCCTAGTGAGAGTATATAAGGAATGCTAGGAATATTTCCTACCATTTCTCTGCGGTACTTACAGTAGAAACCCCGTGCGTTCCGTCATGCATACCACATACAAAGTTCATTTGCAAATAATCCTCCACGTTCATGAGAGGTATCGTCGAATAGTTCCTGTCTTCATCTGTTGCCAGGCAGCGGCGTGATGAAAATTCTGCATTTTATGGTTTTTGTTTGGTCAGCCTTACGATTGAACTTGTCCAGGCTATGAAAGGTTAGTAGTATGTACTTATTGACTGAGTGGGAGGGCCGGACGGGAAAATGTGACAGGTTAGTAAAGTTGCTTATTTAACCTCTTTTTTCTAAGAATATTCTTTCCCCGACCGAGGCAAAATAGTTTCATTTTTTGCCGCTTTTAGGCTGAAAATATTCTTGTGAATATTTTTACATTATAGACCAGATTTTCTGTTTTCGAATGTATTTGGTGTTAACTTCTGGATGGTGTTAAAGAGCTTTTGAGCCAGCCTGTTAATTACTTATTTTTTTCCTTTAATTGATATTTTATTTTAAGCACTTAATGATTGGCCCCAAGGGAAGCAGTTCTGTTATCCGGGGACCGTCAATGAAACTCACTGTTTCCGGTGGGGCTAGTAATTATGTGTTTTGTTATACTTTCCAACCATATTCTCTTGTTCCAACTCAAAAATAAAACGAACTGCAAAGACAATCATTTGTTTGACGCCGTGTGGCAGACAAATTTGCCGCGGTTTTAGGAGGCACTGCCTGATCACGTGCAAGTCGAAAGTTTAAGTTGTTGGGGAATTACTCTTTTTTATAAGAACATTTTTCTCTGGCCGGGGCTAAATATGCTTACTTTTCTGCCGATTTTAGACTGAAATATTCTTATCAATATTTTTAGATTATAGTGTATGATATTTCTGTTTTCGAATGTATTTGGTGTCTGGATGGTGTGAAAGTAATTTTGAGCCAGCCTGCAGGCATTAAAACCTGATATCACACACATAACTTTTTGCAAAAATGTTGTTAGCATGAAACATACGGCTAGTGCTGTATTTTTCACAACTCCTAAAGTTCTGTGCCTAACTGCGATGATCAATCATGTCTGCATATCTTTCTCCGCGGTTCAAATATATGATCTTTTATATATTCATTTGTTATGCTGTATTTGTTGTTCTGGCTAGTTTGCTATTAAGAGAAAGCAACAATTCTACATGGTTAAGTTTAAATGATATAATTCTAATTCTATTCACAAATTGTCAACATAAAATTCTGTCAATTGTATTCTTTTCAAAATCTCAGCTTCGGGTTTAGTTTTAAAATATTCTTAAAATTTGGCAAAATTCAGCCTCGATGATTCTTACAAAACGTATTGTTATAAAAAAGACAGACTGTAATGAGTTTTGACCCATGACGCGTCACGCGTGCACCTCAAATCAGAAAACGTATTTGAGTTGGGTGGTAGATCAAATTTATTGCTCATTTGTTTATTTATTTTTTAAAATTATATATATATATATTTACTTTCTTCGTGTAGACCGCATCAAAAGTCAATCATATAAGATTAATTTACAAAGAATATCCCCTCTCTTTAAACCTTCTCATAATACCAAAATGATTCACCTTTACGTAAGGCCTCGTTCAAGTTTGGCTTTTCTCGTATTTTTTAATACACTTACTTTCAAATTGGGCAGCATGTGTTCCTGTTACATATGAATGATATATATCAATGCGTCATTGCAACGAGCGCGCATTAGCCCAGTATTCATTTAAGGCCTTTGCTATTTCTATTGGCAGGTCGACACCAAGCGCAGCTTTACTGCCTAGAATGTTTTGAAGAAGGGGAGAGTGCACAGAATGTTCAAAAAAGCTGTGATAAAAACATCGTTTCCGAGGATTGCGGGGAGGAAAACATGGTGTGTGGAGTAGGTAGTTTCCAGACAGAAGATAACTTTGAGTTTAATCGTGGATGTTTGACAACAGGAGAATATAACCAATGCGCAGCTGAATGTGCAGCCAGCACTAAAGGAACGTGTGTTGTAGCAATGTGTGGATACCACCAATTGCAGTCCTGATGAGCTGCCTGTAACTGGTGGTAATTGAAGGCAAATATTTGTTTGAAAAGTTCGTGTTATAACAGAGGAAAAAAAATTGCTGAAGGTTCAAACGTTTTTCTTTTAATTTACCTTAAATCTTCTAACTTTATATGAGGTGCAAAGTCGTAAGGCCTTTCTAGAACTATTACTAATCTTCAGTAGTTTAACGATCATTGCATGACATTAAAACGCAAAATAATATCACTAGAAATTCAAACAATGTGCAAAAAATGCGCAGCAGGGCACATTGCTTACTCAGCAAGAAGCAGTTTTTTCTATCGCTGCAACTCGTCCATTTCAAATGACAATGCAAGCATAATACAACCACTAAATTCCGAAACAATTCTCTATGTGTTCTCTAACAAATACTCATTCTTTTCATTTTGGATATTTAACACGTTACGGAAAGACAACACGTTGCTTCTTAATTTTCTGAAATTACTAAAATGTTGTTTTTNTCTATGTGTTCTCTAACAAATACTCATTCTTTTCATTTTGGATATTTAACACGTTACGGAAAGACAACACGTTGCTTCTTAATTTTCTGAAATTACTAAAATGTTGTTTTTCCTTTTATTGTTAGACAGTGTATGAATTTACTATTCATTTGTGATTACTTCTAAGCTTCTCTTACACAGCCCTAATAATATGTCCAAGTCTATAAAATAAAATAGTAGACTCGAATGAGGCGCATTCATTTATAAAATTATGGGTGCAAAAACCTTTACGGATACACATTGATACGACTCTGATGTATATAGAGTCCGGAGAAAAGCATTTCCCTATAAACTCAGTGTTGGCTAGTCAGCTATTTATATTTAAAAAGGTAATAAAATTTAGCAGTCTCGTAATAACAAATCGACAGAGTTGCCCCAGCCTTCTCGATAGATGGACTGAACAACCTAAGAGGTAAGACAAAACAACAATGTTAGATATTATCGAGAATGACCTTTGATCACTTTATTTCCCCTGAAGCTATTGCAAAATTCATTTCCTTGCACGAACAAAAAAGAATGTCATGGTGACCACAAAGGTACAGCGCAAGTATGGTAGTATTTTGCAGCACAAGTTTGCGCTTTTGAAGACACGTTTTATGAATTGTGTCAATTAATTAGGCCATTTGAGATTTTCAAAAAACGCAAAAGTATTGTTATTTGTTTAAGACAAATAAAACTTCACCGAGTTGAAACTTCAAAATTACTTAGTTTCCAATTGTATCATCTCAACATTTAAAAAACACTTAAGTACCTTTAGCTATATTGAAGATCATCTAATCGCCTTTAGCCAAGTCCAAGGTAACATCGTCACCGATGAGTACAAATGGAGCCCAGTGCTTCACTTCGCTAAATTTCTCAGACTCTCTCAGACACTTCATGGCGTGGTTCAGAGATTCACTGGCACTTCTTCCTTCTGCTAGGTGAAGGTAGAAACTCTTCATGAACTCCTGAGTGGCGTAGTCGTCAATTGCCCACAGAGACACAACAACAGAACGAGCACCGGCACCCAGGAAGGCTCGTGCAATGCCAACCACACCCTCAGCCTTAATCTCACCACAGCCACTATGGCAACAACTTAGCACAACCAGTCCTGCTCGCATTTGAACTCTCATCACATCACTCATTCTTAGCACGAAGTCTTCTTCAGCAGGGATCTGGGATGCTCTTGTAGGGTTTGGTGCCAAAGCAATTTCTCCTGTTTCCATCCTACCATGTGCTGCAATGTGCACCAATGCAACTGAAGGGAGTTTTCTCATCACTTGAGCTTTTGTTGCCTCTTTTCCAGTGACGGGAAAAGTGTTGAGTATTTTCCCAATCATCTGTACTTCCATCTTTGCAAATGGCAGCTGTTCTAGCCTTTTCCCACGATAACAAACTTGCTCTACGCATGGATCACCCACAAGCAGCGCCCCAGACTTCTTGTGGTAATCTGGTGAACAATCTCTGATCAATTTCAAACTATTCAATGACGGAATTACCCGGATTCTGAAATACTCGCTCAAGTACTTTGAATTAGAATCCATCAATGCAGCATAAGGAGCCAAACACAATGGACCTTCGGGAACAAATATCAGTTCATTGCCATTAATCAAATCTTTGATGGGGCTAATGATGACGTCATACAATGTTCTTAAAGGATTGGTATCTGAGTACGTTAGTTGGGATATAGTTTGATCCCTCTTCTTTGACACGTCTCCCCTGCTTTTCCTATCCAATGAACGATCCTCGCATTTCACGCCACTACTGACACCATTTTTTTCACGAGCATTGTTAATTAAAGACTCCAACACACTGCTCGCATTTTCCTCCGAATTATTATTGCTGAGTTCTTTTCTTCTTAATTGAACGTCTTTTCCATTTTGAATAATCCAGAAAATTATTTCTCTTTCGTGGACTGCCAAAAAGACTGTATCTGAAAGGAGGCAACTTAATGTGTCGCAAGTCATTTTTTTCCCACCATGTGGTGTTTCAGTTTCGTACTTTGAATTTATAAGATCTGTTAAAGCTTGTGCACGTCCTTGCTCAACAGCGAACAAAGCCTCAACTACGTCACCTTGCTTTAAAATCAGACGCCATAATCTGGTATAAACCATATTATGGATATTGCGGTAACTAATTGTCCACTCATCTTTGCCTTGCAGATTCTGCCTAAGATCATTAAACAATCGGACGCTAGAATGATAACAATCAAGAGCCATCTTCATAGAGCAT